TCTGACTCCTGTGTTTACTTTAAACGCCTCGCTGAGTTTTCCGTTGTGGATCACTTGACATGTGCCGTTGTCGTACAGCTGTTGAATAAGGTTGATGAATATTTGAGGTACGCCGTAGTACTCGAGTAGTTTCCAAATTACTTCACGGTCAACGCTGTCGAAGGCCTTCTCAAAGTCTATGAAGTTGAGGTAGAGATTTGATTGCCATTCCATGCTTTGTTCGATGATAATGCGTAGAATTGCAATTTGGTCAGAACATGATTTGCCTTTCCTAAATCCAGCTTGTTCTGGTCGGAGTTCTGTATCCACTGCGTCCTTGATTCTCCCCAGGATGATGCGACTCAGGATTTTATTTGGCGTCGACAGGAGCATGATTCCTCGCCAGTTCTTGCAGAGTCCCAGGTCGCCCTTCTTTGGTAGTTTCACCAGGTAACCTTTTCTCCAGTCAGTAGGCACCTTTCCCTCTTTCCAGATCTTTTGCAATAATGGAGTCAGCATATCTGCTGTCGTTTCTGGGTCCGCTTTCAGTGCTTCCGGGGGTATTCCATCTGGTCCAGCTGCTTTCCCAGCTTTCAGAAGCTTGATTGCATTCATGACTTCAGTTTTCGTTGGAGGATTGGTGTCAACTTGCAGTTGTGTACGTGCTGTTGTTGGTATTACTGGACGGGTTGTAGGTGGTGGTCGATTCAAGAGTCCTTTGAAGTGGTCCGCCCATTGTTTAATCTGTCTTTCTTCCTTGGTAATTGGGTTCCCTTGGCTGTCTTTTATAGGTTTCACTTGTGTTGATCTCTTCCCGGATAGAGACTTGGTTATCTGATATAGTGTCCTCAGGTCCCTTTTACCTGCTGCCTTCTCAGCTTCAGTAGCCAGGTTGTCGTAGAATTGTCTTTTGTCCTTCCTGGCACTCTTCTTCACTTCTTTGTCCAGTGCTGTGTAAGTTGAGTTCAGCGTCTCTTTCTCTTGTCCATCTTTGCATTGAATCATTTTTTCTTTCACCTTTCTCCTCTCCTCTATTAGTTTCCAAGTGTCTGTTGAGAGCCATTCCTTGTCTTGTTTCTTCTTTCTTCCTAAAACCATTGAACACGTTTCGTTGAAAATTACCTTCAGAGAGTTCCAATGGTCTTCCACGGATGATTCCTCAGTGGTGCCACGTAGTGTTTCCTGCTTTGCTCTGACAGTTGCAGTGAAAATGTCCTGTGTGATTGTGTCCTTCAGTTTGTGAGTGTTGAACTTGCATTGTGGCCTATCCCCAGGTATCCTCGAGGCTTTCAGCTTCACCTTGAAAGTCCCTTGTACTAGATAGTGGTCTGAACCCACATCTGCTCCTCTCCTCGATCGTGTGTCCAGTAGGCTCCGTCTCCACTTCCTTGAGATTGAAATGAAGTCTATCTGGTTTTTGGTGTGTCCATCTGGTGAAATCCATGTTGCCTTGTGTATATCCCTGTGTTTGAACACACTGCCACCAATCATCAAATCATTGAAGGCGCAGAAGTCTGAGAAGAGTTCGCCATTCTCGTTCATTTCACCGAGGGCCTCACGACCCATGGTGAGTTCTCTTCCTTTGTTGTCTCCTCCCAGTTTCGCATTCATGTCGCCCATCAGGATTTTGATATCGCTCTTTGGGACGTTGTCCATTACTGTTTGTAGTTGACTGTAGAAATCCTCCTTCTTCTCATGTTCTGAGGCGTTTGTAGGCGCGTAGCACTGAATGATTGTAACCTTTCTTCCTTTTGAGTTGAACCTGGCTGTCATAATCCTGGAGGAGATTGGTTCCCACTGCATGAGAGCTTTAGCCGCTGTTGGTGACATCATGATAGCTACTCCCTCGGTGTGCTCGTGATTGTCCTCTGGGTGACCGGAGTAGATTATTGTCTCTCCAGTTGATAGTTGGCTCCTTCCACATCCGTTCCATGTGCTCTCGCAGATTCCCAACACTTCTATTTTATATCTCCTCATTTCTGCGGCTACCTGAGCAGCCTTCCCAGCTTCGTACATTGTACGAACATTCCACGTCCCCATCCTTATTTTCGCTTTCATCGAAAGAAGGCACATCGGCTGACTGGCTTCCCGAAGGCTTTCACCAGCCTGCGTCATTTCACTTCCCCGATTCCAGCGAAAAATAAGGCCACTATTTGTAATTTTAGAATTTTGAATATATTTGTGCGTTGAAGTTTTAGTAGCACTTTGGTTAAGTTTTGGGGGTGGAGTTGCTAGCACCACGCCCCAACCCTCCCTCTTTATCCGGGCTTGGGACCGGCTAGAATACTAGTGACCTAGTAATCTAGGCGAGGTTACACGGGTAGTAATATGTGATAAATGTAAATATAAAATCTGAAAAGCTATGCAAGAAAGATTCACTTATTTTGGAAATGCCAGTCTGAAGAATTTTTCACTTTGCTACGGTAATGGTACAGATGGACTGATATAAAACAGACGAGAGATTTTACCAAACTGACCGTCACAGTAGCGAATTTAACCGCTAGCTTCTAATGGCCACTTGAGTACATGGAACGTGTGTTGCTAAGGAAACGTTTATTATTTGGACAGGTAGATGTGCAGGCTGCCAAAATGAATACTGGTTAGGGACATTAGGATAGTTTCTTTTGAAACCTTCAGAAGACATGCATCAGAAATACTGTCGTAGATTTCGGAGCAAACTAGACGCCGGGTGTTTATTTTTCAGCGGGCGTAATACTACAGCTTGTCCGTGCACGAACATGTTCTGTCCTGTATAAATTCTTCTTTCTTATTTGGACAAATTTCCAATGAAAGTTTTCTGATCAAGCAACCAACGTGGAGTGTTGCTTTCATGTAGTAATATCATATTTGGTACCACTTTATTTTCATGTGGATTAAACAACTTTATCATTCATCTTTAACTGCCTAATTTATTATTCATCTGAATTTACACCTCCATTAACCTCCAGAGATTTTGTTTAACAAGCAAATTTCTTCGGTTTTGACTCCGGATAACTGAGGAATTGAAGGTTTAAAATGTGACTAACTGATACATGTACTGAAAGATGCCATTTCACAGATTGTTCTGTACTTTTCAATGTATTTAATCCTGATCTGAATACTCTCTGCTTTGCCATTACTTTTAGTTCTTAGAGTTCTCATCACTACTGGTTCAGCGGACCATAACACAAATATTTCCGGAGACTTTTCAAATTCCTAACAGCCTGTTCTTCATTAGCTCAAAATTTGGCATCCAAGAGGAAACCAATAGATTCCATACCTGCTTCTACGTCAGAGTAGTTCCTGTCAGAAGTATTGATGTGTATTATGTCGACGTTCACTTGTAAACTTTCTCAGTTTATCTATATTATCCAATTGCGAACTGGATGATCAAAATTCTGTGCGATTTTGGTTATTCAGTATATCCTAAACATTTTCAGTTTAAGTTCAGTCCAGATGAATTTCAGCAGGTTACCAAGTGCATAGATAGTATTCTGAGTTCTTGAGGGTTTTATTCTGGTAGCAGAAGTAATTCCTCATGGTATTACTGACAGTTTATGAACTCGTGAATTAACAGAGTCAATCGACAGGAAGCCTTGCCTCCAACCATTTAATACCAGCAATTCACAGTGCACTGTGATGGCGAGCCACCTACTATGGTGGCCACATTGCAAACTTAACTGGCATAATTCAGTTTGAACCAAAGGTAGGACTGAACATATTACACTAGTTACTGACTAGTGTCTAATCAAAAATATCTGAAACCTGTGCTTGGTTGAAATTAGATGTAACTACTCCAGATAAATGATTCATTTTATTGCTTGAGCCACTACGCCTGAATCAGTTTAACCAGCGAAAGTGTGTTTCTGAATACTAGTGAAATGTGCATGATAAAATTCGGAGCTGTGTAGGCTTGAACATGGACTGAAGAAGCAGCATTACCGTCCTGGACTAACTAACATTCAAAGTAACGGGGAAGTAATGTTAAAACAAGTGTTGTCTAAGACATGTATGCATGACAAGCAGTCGTAATCTACTGGTAAACTTAATAATGGATATTATCGAGGAAAAATACTACCTAGCCTACATGTGGTGCACGTGAGCCACCTTGAATAGGACATATGTTAGATTTGACTCAGTTTGTCTCTTCATTTTGTGTGCGGCTCCTAGTTGATGTGGTGACCCTTTCCTCTGTTTCGTTTTCTCGACGAGCCAGTTCTGTCTGCTGGAATGACCGAAAATGCTGAGATTAGTTTCAGTTGTTAGGAATAGATTTAAATGATCAGAGAAACCCAGCACTAAATGAAGGAGTTTTTGCAGCCTACAAAATGCCATCATCATCTGCGTTCCCCATCCTCACCTTATGGTAACAACAGGGATGTTTATAGGAAGAACTGTCACTCTTCTTTCGCTGACGACACCAAAAGACTAACTGGTGGAAGGATAAAATCTATTCATGGTAGCAACACAGTCTTAACACACTGCATAATACAAACAACATATAATTAATCCCAGCACCAATACTTTTGGAGTCAACCGAAGCTACGAGTTAATTGGCGGGACGAACTACGCAGAAGTTTAACGAAACCCAGGAACCTTTACCTCACAATCAAGAAGCGAGCACAAGAAAATCAAATTGTTCCACACTAACTCGTAAAACGATATTGGAAATTAGATATATGAATACAACACACAAATACATTTTGTAGGGTCAGAATTATTTGACCCTCCTGAGTTGCAGTTAAACAATCCCCTTACAAAAAATCAGATTACTGAGTCAATGAAGCAAATAGATTAAAGTAAATAATGTGTTTAGGAAGCCCTATTGAAACATTCAGGTAATATGGTTAAAAACATCTGCTTTGTGAGATAATAAAGAATGTTTCGTTATCTCAATGTTTAGTCTGAATCTTAGTAACTTTTTCAAAAAGACTCATAATTATTTATGAAAGAAATTTTGATTTATGGCATTATGTAAAGTGACATTTGCCATTGAATCTATACAGGGAGTTTGTTTGTTCTAGTGAAATTTAAAGAATGAACTTGAGCATCTTGATTTCACATTTATGAATTAGTAATGTTTGCCCGAGTGTTAACAATCTTTTTTCTTCTAAATATTTTTTGCAAAGCTGTTATTTCCATTGACAGTTATGAAGCTTATTTCCTACCAGATTCACTTTTCATTCAGCAATCAGAATCAGACACAGTGAAGATAGGCTTGAAGTAAGCAAAATACAACTTTTGTTATACGCCTACTGGTTTCACGCATTAATATTCTTGAGTTGAAATATATTTGCACTTTGCATGCATTCGAGTTTCATACTTTTTCCATCAGAATTATTGTGGTTTTATTCATTCATTGTATTCATTTTTCTGACAGTCAATCAGTGCCAAACGATGTGACGCTTAAGCTAAGCTACTGGGAAAGAAATGGTGATGTGGTTTCACCAGAAAAGCTGAATGGCTCAGCCATTCTTCCTATACCTGATTTTGTTATAAAGAAAAATCAAGATGGTCCTACTCCTGTCACAATAACTGGTAACTTACCCGGTCATATATATCTGAGAATAAATTCATCTGGAAGTATTAATATTGTAAAGTAAGTATAACTTTATTTCTATCTAAACTTATTTATTGCACATGTGCCACTCAATATAGCGAATTCGGGATGCTTAATGTCCTCCGCTTTCAACAGTGCGTTATGCTTAGGGTATGATTACAGTTATTTACATATATAAACGGTATGTAGTTGACATACAGTCATTACCACATCATCAGACAGAATTTAGCCTAATAATGTGTTATAATGAGTGGTGAAGATGCACACCAAAATTGTTGGGGTACAAATAAGGTTGATCAAAAGCGTAAACATAAAAATAGTTGAATAAGTCATTCAAAGTGGTTAAATCACTTAAATAATAAGAATGATGTAAAACTGTTCTCAACTCATAATATCTTATTTTAGCTCATGATATAATGTACAACTTGTTTAGGCAGTACCCAATTTAAATTTTTGAAGTTATTTTGGTTTCATCCTCATTCCTCAGACTGACAGCATAAAGTGATTATTGCTTAAGGTGACATCAAGAATACAGCAACACGCTGACTACTGAGGTGAACATTTCGTGTTCAGTTTTCAACAAATAAGTAGATGGCTGGAGTGAATTCGTGTTTCTTCTGAAGTACTATCACACCAGTAGTTAGAATACCTATGATAAGGACCAATCTGTGACTGATCCTTTACTATAATGATGCTCAGAAGGTTCACTCTGTCACATTTAATCTATTTGCAGAAAAGCAATAGATGTGTCGTCTAATTTTTGCATAATTAAGTCATCCAAGAAAATTATAACATAAAAAGAGAACAAGAATTACAACAACCTCATATATTTCTTTGTCGCCTATCTCGAGTTTGAAGTGAAGCTAGCATGTAAACACTTAGAAAGTCAGGTGCAAGATATTAAGGAAGGGAAAAAATTAGGTTGATTAAGATGTAAAGCTTCATCACTGTAACGAAACAAAATCCGTCCAAGTACCAACTGACAAATCACTTTAAATCTCTGTCTTATCTGCAGCAGTGTTAGGCCAAACATACTCACACAAGCAGTTCATGATACAAGAGCATTATGTTTTGATTAACATGGCTGATTTCATAGTTTCCAGTTGCAGCCTAAATCAAAAATGCATAAGTTGGCTACGGATTGTGGAAATTTTCTATTGAGGAGTAATCGCACCGACATAAACGCATATTTCATACAATTTTGAAAGCAGTATTTATTCTTTCATCAGTTTAATTGAAGATACTTAGCAAAGGTTGATGTGGCTATCTGTATTCTTATGAATTATCTCTTAGTGATGTACACCTTGTGACGGCTTAGTGAAGTGTGACAACCTGAATTCAGCGGGTAAGATGTTGAGTTCTATTTCGAAATGTGTAATTTCCTAACTTAACGTAAATAATTATTGCTTAGTGTAAGGTGAGCTGCCACTAAAGTTTCCTCAGCTCATGAATAAAGAATTAGATAATGCTTAAAAGCAACTTAATTAAGCGGTAGGATAACATTTAGATTTGCATACTTTATGTAATATAGCAGTATGTGTTTGATTATTACAAACCTAGGTTGAAACGTTCCACCTTCATCTTTTCTTCCTTTTTAGCGCAAAATCTGCAATATGTCGAGTGACTGTTGTGCGTTTACGGTGGTTAAACATATTACAAATTGTAATTGGCTGGCTTTATTTTGCTGCTTGGACTGTTTCATTCTATCCTCAGTTATATATGAATTGGAGAAGGAAAAGGTAGGGTGGTTTTGACTTCTATTCTCTTGAAATTTATTATGCATTTTTTTAAAAGAGTTATTGCACTGGAGGTTTATTTATCAAATCTGGTTGTCACAGTTTCCTTCCAAAGGTCCTAATACGCAACCGCCTGTGCGTGTTGTTAGTCATTCAACACAAAAAATAAACATACTTATAGTAGAGTTTATGAATATTTCAATAGTGTAAAACTATAAACGAACATATAATGATTTTGTTGACTTTGTTTGAATGTTGAAGCTTTGATACAGCCTAGCTATTACTCGGAAAGCTGCATACACTTCCATGTTTGCCTAAGATATGTCTGTTCGGTTACAGGATTTCATCATGAACTGATATCGGTTAGAGAACCACTGGAAAACCTGCCAGGGAGTACTGGACAGCTGTTTCGTCCTAGTTTGAGACTCTCTATAAGTGCTCACCCACCTGAATTCAAACCCAGGACCTTCTGGTTACAAGATGATCTCGTAGGCCATTAAGCCACTGGGACTTGATCCAATAGCCATCCCATGAATTCTAACTCCTGCCAATTCACGACATAGCGCGACCTCTGGCTAATGTCTTCGGCGAGTATTTGTCCTCACACCCGACCTGCTGCACTCTACTGGCCACGACTTGTCATTAAAACCGAAGTAACTACTTACCTGAATAGGGCAAGTCGCCAGTGAGCATCTCATTGATATTCAAGTGTTGGTTTGTAGGGATTTGATTGATTGGTTACAGGATTTCATCATGAGCTGACATGAGCTGTCCAACACTCTCAGGTTTTCCAATGGTTCTCTAACCGATGTCAGCTCATGGTGAAATCCTGTAACCAATCAATCAAATCCTTACAAACCGACACTTGAATATTTCTGTTTGTATGCATTTTACGACTTTTTACTAGGATTTCCAAAACTTTGTTTCTCTATTATTTCTCAATGTATGTAACAAGCCTCTAAACTATGTAGAGTCAAATAAAAAATAGATTGAAACAATTCCATTTGCTATCTCTCTAGAAACCTTGTTGAGGTATTCAGGACGCTAAGAGCCAATGGTTTGAGAGTGTTAGTGATATGGCTCACAGTCACACTCATTGGAATCCAATTTTTGTGATCCTTCTTGTCCATTAAGTCCTCATTTCTTTCGACATGGTTATTGTTTCTACCGTACATTTTTACCTACTACAGTTGTTTTAAATTTTTTGTTCTTCACCTTCGTGTATGTGTGTGTTGACTTAAACTGCTGAAATTCAGTGCATAGTTCTACTATCTTAAAACACAGTCAGTCATTTGGTTAGTCATACACATCTCTCGACAGTTTTAATTCCACAACATTTGATGTCATGACTCTGTGGGGAGTGGATCTGTATCCGCTGGATGCGGAAAGGCGAAAAGGCATAAAATAACAATTCTAAACTAAAACTGTTCCAAAAAGCATTTTTATCTCAAGTTAAGGAATTATCATTTCTTAAACCTTAAAAATAACAAATCAAAAATCACCGTAAAATTATTTTTTATCAGACAAAATTTATTATCCTTATCTTATATGTATTGACGAACAATTTTCTCAGAAGGATTTTCGTGATCCTTTCATTCTTTCGGCTCTATTTCGTCACAGTGGAAATAAAATGTTTCTTTTAGTCGTCGTAAGTAGTTGCATGTGAACTGTTATCAGTTAATGAACTTGTTGGTGCTAATTGCTTATACATGTGTTTACTACTCAGTTTATTTTATGTTGTCTATTTCATTGTTTATTTATTTTTCTAGTGTGGTTGGATTTAATTTTGATTTTGCCATATTGAATGTTATTGGATTCCTCTACTACAGCGTCTATAATATTGGATTGTTTTGGATTCCATTAATACAGGTAGGTCATAAAGTTATAACATTGAACTGGTCGGAATTTGTGAGCACGTAATTCATGCCTAACGAAATATATCCGCATGTGTTATGTCTAAAATTGTGAAGGGAATCTATATTGCTACAACTTACAAGACTGTGGCGCCTAGTTTTAAAGTCAAATACAAATTTTTATAAATGTTAGGATGTTGAAGTTCTTTCTGTTGTTTGAAAGACTTAAAAACAGATAAATTGATAGATGGACTGTTACATAATTTGTCATCTTACCTTCTGCATCAAGAAGTTAAGACATTCTGGTATTACCCAACCCTTACTCCTACAATCCGTTAGCTCTCGCATTCTGCCTATTATTCTCTATTGTTCACCCTTAGTTTTTCCTGGGCTACTGAAGAAAGACTATAACATATTACGCAGGATATTAAAGGTTGTCAGTAGGGTAAGCAACGTGCCACTTAACCAGCTTGTTAATATTCTGGTTGACAGGCACATGGACCCATGTGGAAAATGGGCTAAATCCATTTTATCTAACTCACATCACCCTCTTCACCCACAACTCTCCCCTTGCATCTCACCAAACAAAACCAGAAGCCTGTATAGAAAACTATATGCCCGCACCAGCAAGTACAAAAACTCAACCATACCCTACTTAGCTCATGTTCTGTGCAACAAAGAAAGTATTAGGCGTGATACCTATTACTTATTAAATAGCCAGTAAAACAACTGGACCTCGTCTTTCCAACTCATATCATTTACAGGTACAACAATTTCTTTCTTTCTTTTCCTTTTCTCTCTCTCTTTTTTCCGTAATGTGATGCTTTGTTTCTTTCTTCCGCTTACGCCAGTAAATATGACACCACCTACTTTTCTAACACCTTCAAACACTGTTCAACTTTGGCTTTGCTATCGACATGCCAATATGTTGTTGTCATAATGAACTGGGATTTCTTTAATGTATGTAGAATTCCATTTATTGATAATGAACTAACTGGATGCAATACTGTAGTAAAAATGCTGAGAATTCCATTCTGTATCACAAGTACTGTTTTGGAATAAAGCAAATTATTATTATTATTACTATCTAGTTGATAATTTGCATTGTATTAATATTTCTGCGGTTACTCATATATGATGCTTCGTTATACCACTGGGCATTTATTAATGGTTGGTCCTTTTATTATGTTACACAGATTCGTGAACCCAGATATCTCTGCCATTCAGAACTCAGTTAAATATAGACACTTTCTAGTTAAGGTCTGTTTGAAACTAATACTGAGTTATTATTATGTAGTTATAGGAGAGATTTATGGCCTAGATGCATAATTTTTTTAATGTATTTTCGTCCAATCAGCTTAGTGGTTAAATTGCCAAGCTTCAATTATCTCTATAGATAACGCAATCAGCCAATACTTCATTCTAAATTTGCCATTATTTAAGAACAAAAAGTTCAGAGAAGAGTCTCTTTTCGGCTAATTCATCCGTATTTGTATATATAATTATTTTATGTGTGTGTATGTTTACATTGGAATTATCAAACAAAAATAAAAAATAGTCAAACTGTAATTAGGCTGGCTGATGATTAGTAAACATTGATAAGGGTCGCGTAATATGAATGACACCCAGAAAAATAGGATGGTAATGAAACAGCATGGAGACATGTGTCTAAAATAAATTATGTATTGGGTGAAAAGAATAAGTAATGAGTTGGTTAAGAAGAAGATGTTACTGAGTTGTCATACAAAAATTCAAAAAAAAACATTACTAACAAAGGTGTAGAATTTTGAATTATACCCAAGGTAGAAGGAGAGAGTGTGGAGAAGTTTCTTCGGTGTGCATAAATCAGGTTTTTTTTTATCCAGATCGCTAAGGCCTCCTCGGCAAAGCAAAGTATACGGAAGCTTACCGTTTTGAACGGGATGAATGAATTCTCCTTGCAAATTGAGTGACCAATGTTGAATATATTTTCAATAATAGCAGTCCTTATTGATCCACTGTTACCTTTTCGTAGCCAAGCGGGAGAGTGTTCTTTGACTCTCTTAGATATAATATGCATTCAACGACCTATATATCTCGCTCCAAGTGAGTAAGTAAATTGGTAGATACACATAGATGTGGTTGAATATATAATAGTTTATCTTTGGAGTTGTTGAAGATTAATAAGAGGCTTGAGAATATCAATCGTAATGTAGCAGAGAATGTGTTTTTCAGGGCGTTAGATATTCTTCTCTCTAAGATGTCAGCCAGAAGCTCACCTTTGAAAGCCACATTCATGTATAGCGTCTTCTTCGGCACACAGATTGGTTGTTTTTTGTTGATTTTCAGCTTTATATGTTAATCTAGAATGCGTGATGGATAGCCATTCTCATGTAGTGTATTCCTGAAAAGAGTGATCTCCTCTTCTACTGATTCGGGGCTGCATATTCTACAGATTTCAGTCGCGAAAGATATTATCAGGTCCCACTAGAGATTGATGGGTACCCAACTGTAAACTGTTGTCAACTGGCCATTTCACGTAGGCTTCCAATATATTGGTGGTGACTAACAGTGAAATTCGGGGTGTACATTCAGGACTAGTCAGCTGGTTGTACCTGCATTCCTGTTGGTGGATGATTCCACGGAAACTCAAACCTTGCATCCACTGTTTCAGATGCTGAAGTATTGCCCACTAGGCCAAAATGGCCACGATGACCATCTCTTGTGCAATGAGTATCCGTTATTACTTGTTTCTGGGGTAATTCTTATTTTCTGATGACTGATTATGTCGTACTCGACAACATGTTGAACACTTTTTGCTGATATTAATAGGAGCAAATATTACTTCACAAGGTTGAAGATTGGTTCTTACGATTTCAGTTTCTTCCCAGTTTTGGTTTCTATACACGTAGTAGAAACCTGTAGATATCCAGGACAACTTTTGATCCTTCTTACTGTGCATATTTTTAACTGATTCTACAAATGGTATGTTAACTATCCACTTTTCCTTCCATTCTGATATGTTGGATTTTGTATCTGTCAATTTGTGCCATACTCTGACGGGAGAAGGGGAAAGACCTTATCTTCAACGAGCGCGCCATTTGCACAGATCTTCCATGTTGCACTAATTCCGGCCCTCATAATGTGTTTCTTTGTGTTCCTTTCAAGTTTCCCGTGCATCTACGCAACGCTTTATCATTTGCTTCCTTTGACATCAAATCTATCTCTCTGCTATTTGATGCTTTTATGCAGATGAACATCTATTTATGTATATACTACTGATACAGTTTATCAGTAGCACATGCCACAATAGTATTTGGTACGTGTTCACTAGGTAAGTAGTTCAGCGGTAGAATACTCACCAACCAGTTACATGGTTGAGGTTCGATTATCCGTCGACTCACTTCTAAATCCTGTCTAGTTTACTAGCTGGTGGGGCTAGCAACCTTGCTCTGTAAAAATGAATAACATCGCTAAAGAAACTTGCAGCTTTAAAGCTTGAAGTCTTGTGTTCCACACGAAGCACAAAGGAATGGAAAAAACACACACAACTGTATTACGTCCATATTAGGTATGTAGTAAAATAAGTTATACTCCTAGAAACTACATCCATTCCTGTGATAAACGAGGTAGAGTAACTTGAACCATAAGGAGTTTTTCTTATAATCAAGATCACTGAATTGTTTTTGATGTAATTGCGTACCCTGAGATGGTCAGTATAGTCACGAAGCTTTCAATGTCTTCATAAACACAACGTAATCGTTTACTTCAATGTGAGGTGAACGATATAGCTGTCTCATATTTGTGTGGTAATTTGTATTCATATAGATCATTTCAGTGACCTAGTGTTTGACCCCTTTACCTTGTGATTTATTCTTTGCTCTTTGGTAAATTGAATCTACGTCAACATGTCTGTTGAGTAAGTATGAGGCTTTTAAGAATTCTCTGGCATTTTTGGTAATTATTACTGGCTAACAATTTCCCATTTTCCCAGTCAATTTGGTGTGCATACTCGTCTAAATGTACTGGTGTGTAGGAATGCTTGTCATGTCTTTTTTGAGGGATAATTTATATTTCTGGTGTTGAAGACGTAGGAGACTTCTATTTTAAAAGGTATAAGGCTTTTGAAGATGTTGTCGAGATAGGCAATGAATGTCTCGCAAGCAGAGCACCAGATGGAAAAAATTTCCATCTGAACTATATTGAGTTATACTTATAACATTATCTAGAAGACAGTACTGCCTCCCTTACACCATAAATCTAATCAGCAAACGGACACATTGCTCAGTGTTTTAAACATGCACTAAATTCTATGAGCATTAATGCACCACCACAATCAACAACAACCACTCCCTAGAGGCGAAACGACACAACATAGCTGGCTAGCTAGTTGTTCAGGAGAAACACTTTACAACTATTATGTGACTGTTCATCACCAGTATAACACCTCTCTCATTTTTTATATTCCTTTACTTTCCCAGTGGAACATGGAGCTTCAAGCTAGAGTCTTGAAGTTTCGGTAGCAGTGATGTTTACTTTTACGGGATGGGGTTGCTAGTCTTATGCCCAACCTCCCCTCTTTCCAGTCTTACTACTGACTTAGAGAGGTAAAGGAGTGCGTATGTGGCCGGGAATCCAGCCCCGGACCACATGAGGCGTGGTCAGTGAGCATTCTACCGTTGTGCCATCGACGCACAAGACTTAACGTAAGTGACTTACATCGTAATGACAACTCCCTTAAGTCTAAACACTATCTAAACCATCTTTCGAGTATGGTGGGACGTGTTCGAACATTTATTTTCAATAAGTGTTCCTCATTGTGTCATGGTGATGTGTAGAACCGATCATCCCACCAAGGAATTGGCTTCTCGTATGCATGCATGCATACATACATACATAAAAGTCTATGCACTGACATTTTTGAAGCTCTTACCAATAGATCTGCCGACCAGCTAGTGAATAATAATGTGGCTTGGAGAAAAGTACCCAACTCCAACAATTACACATCTGTTTGATTATAAGTTGTAATCTACAGCA